TGTTACGAGATGACAGATTTGACAACAAATAAAGTTTATGCTGCAAAAATCATTCCTCACAGCAGAGTAGCGAAACCTCATCAAAGGGAGAAGGTGTGTATGCATGAATGGCGTTTTTTTTTTTTTTTTTAAAAAAAAATTTAAAAAAAAATCTCATTGAACTCTTTGTGTGCTGGATTACCTAGCCCTTTTCCTGAAATTGTTGTGATAGAGCTGTCTGCTCAACCTTGTGGAAGTAAGGCTAACAACACCTTTTTTCTTTTCTGTCCTCTTTTCTTTTCAGATTGATAAAGAGATTGAGCTGCACAGAATGCTTAATCATAGACATGTTGTGCAGTTTTACCATTACTTTGAAGACAGAGAGAATATTTACATTCTTCTGGAATACTGCAGTAGAAGGGTGAGCATCAACTGGGAGAAATCCAGTATTTACTTACCTGGAATCTGCAACTAATTTATATGTGTGATGTGTAAAAGGTATTTTTTTGTGTCCTAAGTTGTTGTTTCTCTCTGTATTCATTCACTTTTGCTTGAAGTGAATATTGTGCATGAATGTTCAGTGACATTTTTGCTTTTGTTTTTCCTCTGCAGTCAATGGCTCACATCTTAAAAGCGAGGAAGGTATTGACAGAACCAGAAGTACGATACTACCTCAGGCAGATTGTGTCAGGGCTAAAGTATCTTCATGAACAGGAAATCTTACACAGGGATCTTAAACTAGGTAAGTTCTGCACATTGCCAACTTCAAAACACATTCCTCCAGCCCTGTCAGCATTGCACTGCTTTACCCTTGTATGGTGATAACTTAATTAGTAGAATCAGCTCAGTCTGTCTTTACAGTGGAAACTTGGAGTGCTTAAGGGATGGCGTTAAGCATTCCTAATTTAAAAAAAAAAATAAATCTTGGCTAGCTCCTGGCTTTGAACAAAGTATGACTCAGCACCTGTGGCAAACGCATTCCAACATTGCAAGAAATGGACTAACTGGAATTTCTTTGTTTGCCAGGTAACTTCTTCATTAATGAGAACATGGAACTGAAACTGGGTGACTTTGGCCTGGCAGCTAGACTGGAACCACTGGAGCACAGAAGGAGGTAGGCACATCAAAAAATGTATAGTGTAGTAGTAAATTAAACCAAATCTATTTAGGAATGAGAAATCCTGTTCTATAGCAAAAGCTAATTACTTTTGAGATTAAGAATTCCTCTTCTGAGAACAGGATGCTGTGCTTTGACTTCTGCTTTTCTCTGAGTGTTTGGATGATAGCAAATGCCAGAGGCTGAGTACCTGTCTGACTAACAGTGTAGATAAGTCTACCCTTCCTGTATCATGAAAAAACAATGAAAGGCACCTAAGTTATTGAAGTTCCTACAGCTCCTCTTTGGGAGTTTCTTAAATTTTTGTGTGAACTTGAGAGGAAAACCTGCCCTATGAAAAATAGCTTCTCTCCTCTTTCCATTTGAAATACTAACCAGCTCTGTGGCCTCTTTGATTTTTCAGAACAATATGTGGCACACCAAATTACCTCTCTCCAGAAGTCCTCAACAAACAAGGGCATGGCTGTGAATCTGATATCTGGGCCTTAGGCTGTGTAATGTAAGTACTTCACTGCCTTTGAAATGAAACATTTCTATCACTGGTTTAGGCTTTTAAGAGTTCAAAGGGGATGTAGTACTGCATCCATTTGCAACCCTTTGTACATATGTAGCTCAAGTGCAAAAAGTCTCCTTCATGTTAGGAGACAGACAAAGCCTTTTCTTTAGTTGTAGGTAAGTAGTGTGGGTGTGTAAAGTAAATAAAACTGTATTCCTTTGCTTTTAAACAGGTACACAATGCTGTTGGGAAGACCCCCCTTTGAGACCACAAATCTTAAAGAAACGTACAGATGTATAAGGGAAGCAAGATACAGCCTGCCTTCATCTCTCTTGGCACCTGCAAAACACTTAATAGCCAGCATGTTGTCAAAAAACCCTGAAGATCGGCCCAGTTTAGACGAAATAATTCGGCATGAATTTTTCTTACAGGTTTGTACTGTATAATGTTTTGGCTGAAAAAATACCTACCAAAAAATGTACTCGGTGGTCTAAAATTTCTTTTTTTTAATTGCATTTCCACAGGGTTTTACACCCGATAGACTGTCTGCTAGCTGTTGTCACACCGTTCCTGATTTCCATTTGTCAAGTCCTGCTAAAAATTTCTTTAAAAAAGCAGCTGCTGCTCTCTTTGGTGGCAAAAAGGATAAAGCCAGATACTTCGACACACACAGTAAGTGGATTGTAGCTAGGCTTGAAACTTATCTCTGTTGCATCAGTGTCATGCTAGTAATGTACATCTATGAGATAGCAATGGAGCAGAGCTTCCCTGGGTTAGTTTTGACCTCTCTTGATAAGTATAGATGGTAACCCGGCCACCTACGCCAGCTTACATAAGTGAATGCTTCTTACAGCATACTGACAATCTATATTGGTCATCTGTTAGTCTGTAATGTCTATTGAAGCTTAGTCTCTTAGTGATTTATGTATAATGGCATCACTGTTCTGGGAGACTATGGCAGGTTTAGAAGCTACTGGAGGGGAACAATGTGCTTTCTGCGCCTAACATCTTAGGCTTTCTGTAATTGAACAGCAATTCCAGATTCAGTGTTAAATTGGGCTTTTTTTCTGCATTGCAGACAGACTAGCTAAAGAAGATGAAGAAATCTACAAGCTCAGGCATGATTTGAAGAAGACCTCAATAACCCAGCAGCCCCCCAAACACAGAACAGATGAGGTAAATGCAAGTGCAGTTCAATTCAAATCCAGTAACAGTTGGGTGGAGTAGCTATAATTAAATTATATTTGACTTGGATATCAGAGCTGGGGCTGTACACAGCATAATCAAGCTTAAATGATTAGCAGAGTTGCTTTAAGAGGGCTTAACCAAGCATCACCAAGGTATGGTAGCCTTTGTAGGGAGACTATAAATTTTGGCTTTTGAGTAATTATAGTATCTGCCTAGACTCCATTGTTGTCTATGTGGTAACTTGTCTGCCAGGTGCTCTTTCTCAGTATTCCAAATGCAGGGCTTCAGCTCATGATTAACTAAGGGCTTCTTAAAAGAATAAATTGCTGAGATCTAGCTCTTACCATTTGGTGTTCAGACCTGCACACAGCTGTTCCCTGGCTGGGGCAGGAGAGCAGAGGACTGATTAATAGCCTGTGAGATGCAAATTGAAGATCTAAAGAATGGAAAGACCTGGCGTGCTGCTTTAAGCTCAGTCTAAGAGCAGGTCTTTGTACTTCCTGGAAACATTAATACCAGTTTCCCTAGAATTTATCATTTGTTGAGGAACAGGAGAGCCATGCAAAACTTGTGCATAAGCATTGGTTTGTGTTGTGTTTGATGTTTACACGTCTGACATCTCTTCTAGGAGATCCAGCCTCTTATCACAACAGTAGCAAAGCCGGGAGCATTGCCAGAAACTAAGCAGATTGGAGACTCTATTCGGATGATAGTCAGAGGAACTTTGGGAAGCTGCAGCAGTAGCAGTGAGTGTAAGTGCAGCAAAATGTGATCTCTAATTCTGAATCTTACCTTTACTTTCTTCATGTCTGAAGCTTGAAACAAATAGCTGCTTTCTCCCCCACTCCCTATTTTTGATATGTTAAATTTTTAATTTAAAGCCAGTTATTTTGGAAGAATTAAAACTGGAAAGTCATGAAGGCTAAACTTCTTAAAATTAAAATCGAGGTAACTGAAAGGTTTAAAATGAAAATCTGCTCTCTGTGCTCCTGTCAGTCTAATAATCCTTCCTTTTCAGGCCTGGAAGACAGTACCATGGGAAGCGTTGCTGATACAGTCGCAAGGGTATTGAGAGGATGTCTGGAGAACATGCCAGAATCAGACAGCATTCCCAAAGAACAGCTGACAGCATCCTTCCAGTGGGTTACAAAATGGGTGGACTACTCTAACAAGTATGGCTTTGGGTACCAGCTGTCTGATCACACTGTTGGTGTCCTTTTCAACAATGGAGCGCATATGAGCCTTCTGCCAGACAAAAAGTAAGAATCATGACAAAGCTGACAACTCACTAAGGCAGTTTAAACACGAAGTGCTTGTTTCTAATCCTTTCTAACCTTGCTTTCTTCTCTTACAGAACAGTGCACTACTATGCTGAGCTAGGCCAGTGCTCTGTCTTCTCAGCCACAGAGGCTCCTGAACAGTTCATAAGCCAAGTAACTGTACTGAAGTATTTCTCTCACTATATGGAGGAGAACCTCATGGATGTAAGTTCAGCACCTTTAGGAATATTGAACTATAAAAATATACGAAATGTGAACTGAGTGCTTAACGCAGTCTCTTTCCTTTCCTAGGGAGGAGACCTGCCCAGCCTAACAGATGTACGCAGGCCCAGGCTTTACCTCTTACAGTGGCTCAAATCTGATAAAGCATTAATGATGCTCTTTAATGATGGCACGTTTCAAGTAAGTGTGGTAGTATTACTGAAGAAAACGGTTCTTAAAATGCTTCATTGCAATAAAACTACCTAAGTCTCAGAAACTGAGAGAAGAAAATATGTAAATAACCAGGAACTCACTTCTCTTTTACAGGTGAACTTCTATCATGATCACACAAAAATCATCATTTGCAATCAGAGTGAGGAATATCTCCTTACCTACATCAATGAAGACAGGATATCCACAACGTTTCGGCTGACAACTCTTCTGGTTTCTGGATGCTCGTTGGAACTAAAACACAGAATGGAATATGCTCTGAACATGCTGCTGCAGCGATGTAACTGAAGGGGCTCAGGCTGTTAAACTAAATGGACCTTTTTATTCACTGTGAATCTACAGTGGAGATGATAAGCAACTAGTATGTTGATGATGGGATGTGTGGTGGTACGAAAACTTGACTTGTCGTAGTGTGCTGGGCACACATCTATTAGAAGCCTAAACCTACTGTTGGACAATGTTGTGACAAGGAGTTCTTCGGATCATAGTTTTCCTTGCTTCATGTGTGTTAAACATATATATGACTTGAAATCGGAGCGGAGTGTGTCTGCTTGCTCTATAAGAGAGCAGTTCTGATGGAGTTAAACTGTGAATATGCATCTGGAAAGGGAGGGAAGGGAGAGCTCCGTTTGTTGGGGATAATTGTAACAAGCAGCTTCTGGTTGCTTAACTGTGAACTATGGCCATACTTTTTTTTTTTCCCCCTGATTTTTCAAAGATACCCACACTTGTGGCTGGCAAAGTGCATTCCTTGTTAATTTTTTTAATTTATTACAGCCTAAAGTGAAGTATTTATTACTTTTTTTTGGGACCTTGGCAATTTAAATATAAATTTCTTGGCAATAAAGAGAATGGAAATCTGAATCATCATTCTCCACTCTTTCTACATACTTTGCTTTGCATTATCAAAAAATCTTGCAGGTTTGCTTTTCTGACTCTATTGTTTAAGTCTGCTACAGGTCAGGATATGAATGACAGGCTCCTAACCCTGAACACTCTGCATCTATGCCCACTTACAGTCATGAAGTTGTAGCAGCAACCCTAAAGCAACTGCTGCTGGAGTTTGCAGAGTAATGATGTAGGCCTTGACAATTATTGTCCTAGGGGCTAAAACCAAAAGTATGGATATTTACAAGATACCACATCTCAAAATTGATGATTTACACTGACTGAAAAGAACTCCGTACTTCTGGATCATATTTGGTGGACGGTAGCCATGACAATGAGATGTATAAGCTTTCTCCTCTACTTGCTGTGGAAGCATTGCTCCTACTCCCAAGGGACTGAGTGTCGTCATTCCTCAATGGTAGAACCAGTTGTCCATACCAATCACGGCCCCTCTATTGTGCTTTATTGTGCGTCTTTCTACGCTTGGCTAAATGGTAACCCCAGTATCCTAAAATCCAAAAGGTGAGAAGACTAAAGGATGACTTAAGTCTTACTCTGCCAAACTGATAACGTTAAATAACCACAAGTGCTACCAGGACCAATTACCACTTATGATAGGCAATAAGTTTTCTCTCAAGTAGCTCAAAACAGCTGAGAACAATATGGGGATGGCCTGCTGCTTTGTGTGATCCCACTGCTATTAAGTGTGCACTTCGGAGAGTAATTGCTTTCCAAAACTGAAGGCTATACTTGTTTTCAGTTAAAACCATGCAAATTGATGGGATTATGGAGGACTCATGACTCCCTGGGGAGGGAAATGTCTACTGGTGGTCTGAGCTTATTTTTCTAAAGAGGTTAGATAGCACCTGGACCTATGTAAACATAGCAGTTTTCAAGCAACTGTTGTGATGTCACAGCAAGCTGTAGTTCAGTTGCTTTCTTGACCCACTGTTCATATAACTGAATGAGGCTTGTTCTGTAAGATAGACATCGATTGTCATCAGTGTATCAATCAAAGCAGCTGAATGCTAGAAGCAGGCAGTCAGCATAATAAAATGCAGACTAAACAAAGTACAGATGTCAATCCAATATAGTGAGCAGAGGAGTTATCCCTGGCTTGCTTCATCTTGCAGCGAGTGTGTATAAATGTGATTGTTTTTGCTGTATTGAATACCATGCATTAGGTAATATTTATTTACTTCTCAAGTCTAGACAGGAAGACCCAATTGAGTTCTTCGTATGGATTCATTAATGTAACTCTAGGCAGTTCAGTGAAGTTAAATATATACTTGCTATAGTGAGCAGAATCCAGCTTCCCAGCTGTCTGCTTTCTTCAGGGGATAATGGTTGATTTTGTTCCTGGGAGGCCATGACTTACCTAGTTCTGCTACACACATACAGCTGCTGTTGAATCCTTCTCTCTTACAAAGTAAGATCTCCCTTTTTGTTTATGATACCAGAACGCATACAGTTTGTGTGCATTTGAAATGCAAAATCTACTTGAGCTACAGTACTTCTTGACATGGAAAAACTGATTTTTGTTTGACTGTCTATGTGCCAGAGAAAATACAAACCTTTATTTCAGCTGCTATAATTTCATTGGGTATCAAAATAATGTTTCTATGGCTGTAATTCAGGCTGGTGTAAGCAAATAAACTGACTTTAAATGTAGGATGTTTAAAGGTGGATGTAAAGGCCCAAAATCCTGTTGTAGGATGCTAGTTGTTTGTGGACAGTTGTAATGCACCTCACTAAAATAAGTTAAGTGAATCAGCTATTTGTATGCAGTGTTTGTGTGGTACCAGGATGCTCGATGGTTTCTAAATCCTTATATATCCTTCTGGTTAGTGCTGTGTATCCTTGCCTCACTTTTTGTTTTGATATTGCAAAATAAGAGAGATGTTTAGATCAGATTAAGGAGAAATACCCTTTTCAAAGTGCACTACCTTAGCCCTAGTTTCTGAGCCAAAGGAGGGAAAGCCGCTTTAAAATTTGTAGTGTAAGAACTTGCATCAGGAGCAAGGGTTCTGAAATCCTTTCCTATGGTGGGTCCTGTCTTAAGTAAGACACTGTAGTGCTTACTACAGTCACTACTCAACCTCTTAAACAGATAACATCCCTGTTGTAATTCTGCATACAGGAAGATTAATCTTAGAAAGGTACTTGTCCACATGCTATATATAACAAATATCTTACCTGCTCGTGAAAGATAGTTATACAGTCTGGATTTTATGCTTGTCAGGCAATTATTCTAATATTTTATGTTGAAGCCAAGAGCAAACACCACGTGAAAGTTTATCTTGTGAACATATATACTTGAATGGAAATGTGGGGATTAAAAGACTAGGTGAAAGCACATAAGTTTTTCATGTAGTGGTGGACACAGGAAATAACATTGCCAAGTTTTTTTTAAAAAAAGGGTAGTACTCTTATCAAAACATCTTTATCAAGTTTTAAAAAACATTTTTGCAAATATACGTACACACTTGTATGACCCAATAAACTAACCTGCCAGTAGTAAACAAGTCAAGGAAATTATTCACAGGACGTGCTTTAGTGTTAACAAAATGTATTACCCAGTGATGCCACTAGTCAATCAAGTGTTCTAGGGCATTCTGTAATCCTTTTAAGGGTTCTGAAATTATTCCATTTCATTAAATCACTTTACATAATGTATATAAGAAAAAAAAGAGTTTGGACATATGCTACTTTGCAATATTGAAGCTTCTGACATTCGCTGGGTTACTTAGGAAACTAGAAAAAGATTCCATCATTTTAAAGCTATTTCATTACTTCTGAAAATAGTCATGTTGGAGAATGATCCTTCAGCTGCCCATCAATAACAGGGAATTTCCTGCCTAATTAAATGGATTCTAAATGTAAATGTGAATTAAAGGAACAAAAAAAGAGTTATTCTTATAGGTAATGATGAACCCCCAACTAGATGCATACCCAAGGAATCAACCAGAGTCATGCATGACATAGACCACAGCCTTTTTTGTTCTGGTCTGGCTTTTTTCTTTTGTTTTGTTTTGATACTCTTTATGCTTTATTAACATCAATAGTGGCAGACATCTCTTTGATTGAATTGCCACAATGTTAGACCAATACATACAAATGAAGAGGTTAAACTCCATTTAAATTTACAGTATTGGAAACAAATATCATGGCTCATCAGTGTGTGGAAATTAGTATAATAGAAAATAAAGACTCAACATCTGGGATTTATCTGTGTAAATTAGCCTCAGTATGAAAAAAAAATGATTTTAAAGATTCTGTCATACCGATATAGCATTAGGCCACATTTGAAACCATTGCTGGTTTTTTTCTCTACTGTGAAATCATGAGAGAATAAACATTTTACATGGTCTGCATCAAGTAGATGTGATCTGAACAGGAGTACGTATTATTCTGGTTTACTATTTAATGCTGTTTCCTGCTTACTTTTTTAAGAAACACCTTAATCCATCATGATGAAAACATAAAAGAGTTAATAAAATCAGCAGTACCTTACAGAGACATTATTAGTACTGAACTTGTCCAAGTAAGAAGTTAATAAACACTTTTTATTCAAAGGTTAAAAAGCAATAAGGTATTTTGCAGTTGCCTTCACTAAGGAATCTGAGGGGAAGAACTGAATGAACTCATCCAGCACTTTGGCAGGTTGTAGTGCTGACTTCTTTTGTGGCAGGCTAGAAATGAAGATTAATCCACACTCTTCCACCCTTACGTGTATTAAATGGTCATGAAAATGACTGCTGATTTTCTGTTGACAGTTTCAAAAGCCAGATAAAGGAAAAGGTGGAACAAGCATGCTCCATGAGTGAGTGTATGGGTGGGTGGTTGTCTCTCCATTACACTCAGAATCTTAGGCAGATAGATACTTATATTTTGTCTTGCTCCCCACCTTGGGGAATAAATACCAGCTCATTAAAATTGTTTACCTGGATTTAAGATCTTTGAAGCTGATAACCTATCATACAACTAGGTCTTCCTAGACAGGGATGACTCCTAAGTGCTGCAGTAATTCAAATAACCCCTTTAGAACCTGGTCATCTTGGACATCATTCCTGTGGACCTTCCTTCTGCAGGACTCAGTTCACAGTATTTCACATTAAATGACTACAAAAGCAACAGCATTAACAAGATGAATAAAAGAAGCTTTGAGGTCACCTTGTTAATCTTACTGCCATCTCAGGAAGACCTCATCTGCTCCTGGTTATGTTTCACAGATTTCACAGACACAACCATTAGAATCAAGTTAATAGTAAACTGACAATTCATGAAAATTCTGCATATATAAAATTTTTGTCTCATAAAGTAGCCTCTGTAATTTATAACTTAATATGAGAAGACTTTTTTCCTTATTATTATAAATAAATTGATTTCAAATGAATCTTGTAGGTTTGGATTGGCATTCAGTGGAGGAGAGAAAGTAACAGGGCTTTTGTAGATAGATTCTGCTTCCAGTGGATTAAGGCTGTTGGTTCTGATGGGAGAAGAAGGGAGAAGTATAGTCCATTATAAAGTAGACTGTGGCAGAGGAGGAAAGTCACTGAGAGCAGAAGAAAGGAAGCAAGGTTATGCCATCAAAGCAAGTTTAATCTATGGAAAAAAAAAAGGAGGCAATTTGCATATCATCCCCAAGGCCAGCTTCTCATGCCTGCCATCACATTAAGTCATGGACAGCTGTAGTAAAAGATGCATGAGAGGTGCAATAAGTGGGTAGAACAGGAAAGGCTGGACTTTTCAGTACAGGGAATCCAAGGCAGCTGAGACAAGCTCAAGGGAATTTAAATGCCTTGTATTATATACAATATGCCATAACAGTTATGCTTGATGTTGTTCTACACAGAAAATTAAAAAAGCTAGCCTGATTTTCAGAAGCCTTGACCTCTGTTAGTGCTGAGTACCTATGGAATTGAAAGTGGATGGCCTCTGCTTACAATCAAGGTTAGATATCTCCTAACAGAA